CACCTGAGTATGACCTCGTTGCGAATACTGAGATAACCTGCTTCAAGACATAATCAAAACTTCACCTACCTTCCACGGGTTCAAGTCACTCAACAGTAGATTCTGCCGAAATTCTTCACTGCTTGTGAGAAATGCAAACAAAAGATCCGATCGTTGCAACATATTCTAGAAGTAACACTAACATCACTATTAGTGTTACGGAGCATCACTAATAGCTAGACTATTCCCTTGGTGAATACTGTGGTTTCATTAGAAAAAGGAAGAAGGAGAATAAAAGAACAGCACCTGCTTGCAGAGCGAAGACAGGAACAACGAAAATAAAAGACGATGTTGCTCCAGAAATGCTCGATTTCTGCTCACCAACGTCTGAATGTTTATCTTTATCTGTTTAGGTATGTGTTTTCAAATATTCCCTTAATCTCTGAAAGTACTACAAAATTCTACCAAGTAGCTTACAAGTTACGGAATTGTACAATTATCCATTTCACTACCGGCGCATGCGACCATATAATCACCTAAACCTTGAAAAGCGCCTGGCACAAAGACTAGCATGACGTGGCGCATATGGGATAGCAGCAACAGAGACCTAGCAATCCGGTGCCCCCACGGATTCTTGCGCGAGATGTCTAGCAAAAGCGGAATCTATGCTCTCTACCGCCAAACCACCCCGCCTATCAGCGTTTCGCTTGGATCTTGTCCTTATATCGAAGAAGCGACACAAACACAAGTGACCATGAGCAGCTTGATAAGCTTATAACCCCAGACAAGTTGGTAGTAGTCGGCATTTCAGCGCTACATCTTGGTGGACATATCGAACGATAAGCATCCATGACTTCCACTGCCCATTTTTGAAATTTAGCCACTTTAGAAAAATTTCTTGTGCCAGATAATGAAGAATGACAAGTGAAGAGAGAGCTTTGAATGCAATAAACCCCGCAAAAATACATTAAAAATCAAGATGATTATTCAAAAACATTTAGTTTGATATTCGAACAACCTACTTTTCTTGGTGGAAGCAAAGTGAAACGAAGCGAATCACCATGGAACTCCAGTAGTTTCATCTCAAGCACGTAGAATTCAGCAAATCGCCTAAATAATCGCACATCAACTAAGAAAATATCGGAATTGTTAAGGCACATCTCATGATCGAGTCTAGTAGATTAATCCCCTCCATGAGTTTTCCACAAAAGTAAAATATGTGGTCACGTGGGTGTAGGTTATTTGTGGTGCAGCCCTCTAGGCGGTGGAATGTCCACGACTCGCACATCCTTTATGCACACCTGTCCGTCCTCTCAGGGCACCCCTGGCTCACTGCCGTCGACACGACCCCGAAAACATGCCCCAGTTTCAATGATTTGGGGATTATTTTCGGTTGTGTGATTGGTAGCACAACTGCCCGAAAAGCGAGAAGTGCGGTTTCGATCCCGCCCGAGGGGGAGAATCTCGTAACTCAACGTTTTGTGATTTTTTTTTCACTTTTTCTTCACTTGCCATCCACTTTGCACCTCTGAACCACACCTTGTGATGGTGAGATATGCTCTTGAAAAAAAGGACCCTCCCATCAGCACGGTCTTACTCAAATTGCCTTTGGTCTCGCTGACATCCTAATCTCTGTCGATATCCGAAAGTCAAACTAATAGAGTGAACTTCTCCAAAGTTTTGTTCCTTTTAGTAACCCTATTTGTACCAAGTTACTAGCGACAACTCTATGTACACTGCAGGCACCATCTTCACTCCTCCACCTCCTATCATTTTTCCTGAACCCTGAAAAGAGCGAAATAATCTGAAAGCGTACCGGTATATACACCAGCATTTGGTTTCTTTGTCCTTTGCTTCTTTACGTTCCACATCAATAACGTATACATATACCGTACGCCCTGAACAAGCTCTTGCTCTACAAGCTACGAAGTTTTAAAGGGACGACGGCGTTCGAAAAACGTACCAGTTGTGCCGTCCCTCATCGGCACGATTCTGCTGATGTTCACCTTCCACTGGTTAATGTTTCGAGTTTCTTTGTCGATCACTAGAACCGGTTCAGCACTTGGTGCCTCCACAACCGATGATGAGCTTACATCTTCCTCATCCTGGAAACAGTCAATTTGTTTCTGCACTGATAGATTAAACCATAGGCTTTCTTTGAAGGCACGCCTTAGGATCAAGTTGGTGGGGCAAAAGCGCTGGAGAATGCAAAAGCGAGCAAGCGCCAAGTAAACCACCATTTAAAAAAGGGAGAGGAACCATTAAAAAACCTTCGTCCAACATGTGGAGAAGAATAAACGGCAGAGAATGAGATCCAGAAACTCACAGTTCCAGAGCATCCACTGGCGGGCGAGACGTTACCCGCTTCACCAGTCAGGGATACATCGATTGACGGCAGACTCAGCTGTGATAGCGAACGAGACGTGAAGCTCGACGACGAACTCTGAAATCCTGGTAGTTGAACAGAACTTTCGGGCAGTATTTCTCCTTCTCCTCTCCCATTGTTCATTTCTTCTAATCTTTCATTTTTTCGGCCAAGAATGAAAATAGTGAAGACTTTAAGGAGACAATGAGTCTGTTGTTTTTCACTCAACCGCTCCAAAGTGCGATAAATCACCTTCCAATTCATCTTAAGCTTGGTCCTACCCTTTCTCTACGCAAGTATGAGATAGGCACGTCCTTTTTGTAAAACCATTTCGACAAACCTTTCTACCCATCAGCGCCTCCTTTCCGCTTTCGCTAGCAGCGCCTTCATATTTCGTGTCGTCTACTAGTTCACTGAAGCTAGAACCCAACGACTCCTCGCTCTCCAGTGAATCACTCGACACGCCGAGCTATACGCTTCGCGCGTAAATTTCTAACCGGAAAACACTATCTTCTAAAAGATGCAGCAAACCAAAAGTCGTCCATATACCTACCTTCCATAACGCAAAGAATGAAGGTAAGGCATTCAATAACTATGAATTTGAAATGTGCCATGCATTCTACTTCTACCCGGAACCGTAGTCGCATGATTAGAACATAGCATTGAGGGCTCCACGCCTTCCTCAACATCATGGAACCGAGCCACGAAAGAAATGTACATATACGAAAATTTTTTTTTACTATGTTCATAGGGGCGGAAGTGGTGTAGTGACAAGTGGCGCGCTTACCACGCGAGCGGGTCCGGGATCAAATCCTGGGTCGTGAGTCGCCCGGGCCAACCAAGCCTTCCATCCCTCCGGGGTCGGTTAATTGGTACCAGACTTGTCTGGGAGGATAAAAACACTGACTTGAACATCGGCTGGCCCCCGCAAGTCATTGTATAGGCCACATCGCATTCAAATGCCACTGCGAATGTACAAATGGAAGTAGAATGCGTGCCGCATCCCAAAAAGGGATGATCAATGCTTTATCCTTTATCCTTTATCCTTTTGGTATGGGCCGCTTCGCATAGAGATATTCTAGCATTAATGAACGAAGATCAAGTGACAGACGGCTTCAATTACGAGCCGCAAGGCCTGAGGGGCGTATCTTGACTAGGCGCAACGTGTTTCCATTCCGCGCCTGAAGTAAACTATTGCGGTACCGGAAGTTTCCTGGGAAAAATAATGAATTGTACATTCGGCTGGCCCCTGTTATTGGTGTAGACCCTACCAGGCGTAACACAGCAGACCACGTTGGACATTGAAACGTGGTATCGCGTCTCATCCTTGTCGTCCGTTTTTCTAGCACAGCGCGACTTCTTTCCAAGCTGTTAGCATCCGTGGTCCATAAAATGATATGCTTAAGCACAGTAGTAAACCTGCTTGTTTTAGGTGCTTTGAAAGTTGAGGAAAGGCTAGAGTCGGCGACGCTGCGCGCACCTTGAATGCTTCCTCTGAGAAAGATAGTGTAAAAGCACATATTCCATTTTCACGCATTTCAAGTGGCTGGCTTCCTGATTTTCCACTTCTATGAACTAACTATGTCTCCCTTGGTTTACCGCCCTTTATTTTGCGCTAATGTTATCACTATCCGCCTAGAGGTCGTAAACAGGCTGTGTGCCTCGTCGCCGGCTGATCCCCCACTCCAACTCCCAATGTTGCCCTGATTTCCTGCATTCAGTGTTGAGTTCCTAAAACGCACCTAGTTGGACAGTGAGACACGGTTGCGCGTCTCAGAGATCGCGCCGTCAGACTGCTCATGTCCCACGTGGACAAAAAACAGGAAAAGAGCGCTGTACTCAGCTAAATGCTAATGGTATGAGTGGAAATCACTGCATGGCACGTCTCGAAAACGCTTTTGTCAACACTGAACACTGTCAGCATGCTCCGTGCTTAGCTTCAGTGACTGACCGCTCTGATTCCACCACGGATCGCCCACCCACACCTTCAGTGGGACCGTAACTTTTAAAAAAGGGGTATGCTTAAAAAACTAACTCAAGAAGATAATTCGAATGATTAAATGTTGTCTTGTGGGATCGTTAGATGTTCAATCATAGCTTAGCAACATATCTCACCTGAACTGGGCCAATGAAAATGTGCCCGATGACACTGATGACTTCCTTGGCACGGAGCGCTGATCAATCAACTCATTCACGCAGACTGGTGGACTACCACACAAATACCTGAATATTCCCATGACTGACGAACGTTCAGCAACAAAATTTCAATCACTTAGGATAAAAAATTCACCCCAAAAACGCATCGGACTGACAAAATGGGACCACGTGATCGCTTTGCATTCGCTGGTAGACGACTTGATAGGACTGAAATAAGCAAATCTCAAATCGAAGTTACAGCCCAGTAAATGGAGATTTTCCAAGCCATTCGTATGAGCAATT